GAGAGAAGCAAAGTGTTCACGAGGACCACCATCCATGAACGGCACTAAATCCTCTGGAAATGTCTCGGGTTTGACCCATCCATACCACATTCTCATCCTTTGACCAAAGGTAGGATCAATTACAAGCACCACGGGAAATGATTTGAGGTTGTAGTATGTGCAAACCTTTCTTCCTTCAGTGATATCATTATAGACCTAGTACAGGAAAAGGAGGAGTTTTTAACCATATACATAAAAGAGAGTTTTGGCTTAAGCACGCGATAATCTAAAAGGGGGAAGTTCCACACTAAACCTGCCAGAAAATGAAATTGGCTCTGATAGTATGAGAAACAGACTCATTTTCCCAAATATTTGGATTTAGCTTTGAGAAAGAAACACACACAAAAATTAGATGCCAGTAAGTAAGTTCTGTTAAGTGATCTTAACTGAACCAAAACTATACCGAAAAAACCACCGAAAGAGAAAAGAAAACAGTTTCAAACATTGCAGATCCAAACCAAACTGAAAAGGAAATTAAACCGCAATTACTTACAAAATCCTTCAAATTGAAAGACTATTTCCTAAGGTCTCAGATCTCCGTAAAAAGAAAAAACTTAAGCCAAAATAGAACAAAAAAAAAACAGTTTGGGCACCCCTAAAATGTGACTCACATCAAGATTGAGTTGAAAAAAGAAATCTAACAAAAAAAAAAAAGTTTAGAGAGTAACCATATGAGAGCTGAATTATGTGGTGGATTGGAGGTTGATAAGAATCTGTTTATCATGAGAGGAAGAGGTAGTTTTTGTCTAAACAGAAAACCGCACAAAGAGAGTTAGAGTAAGAAAGCAGAAGAGCATTTAACAAAGCAAGAGACTTTGTTGAGAATCTGTTCAAAAGATCCAAGTAACATAGGACGGTACAATGAGGAAGCACCCTCATCTGGTTCCCAAACTCCCGGGCTTTTTGGCTCTTCACTGAAGTTACAGAAAGAAATCAAAGAAGTAAGACTAAGAGTGTCCCGCTCTCATAGCCCGAATCACAAATGTTATGCAAGTTAATTATTAGAGATGCATCCCGCATCATCATCAGGATAAAACAATAAACTGATATCGACATTAAAATATGCAGTAACATGTCGGAAATGCCGACTCTAATTGGTTTATACGACGGATGATGACACATTTTTTACCAAGTACAGCTGTGTCACGTTATTACCCTTCTACAAGAGGTACATTGTTTGTGTATTTATAAATATGGCTTTCCTGGATTATGTTTATTTGCACATACTATTCTAAAGACAGCACAAGTAGCAGCTCTGAGGATATATTCTCAACCTCAGGATTTAAGAAAAAATAAAGGAGATAGCAAAAAAAAGAGACTAACCTATAATACATTATTAAGTCATCATTCTGCGGTATCCTTTCATTTCCTGTGTTAGCCACCCTATAGAATATAACATCAAATCAAAAGGATGAACAAACCAATATGGATAATACTTAACAAAAACCGAACATTATCATACCTCCAAGATTGTGCAGCCATATGATCATTGGATGCTGGCTGAGTGTGTGTTCCAGACTGAAGCATACCACCTTTACCTCTAGCATAAAAATTCTGAATATCTTCCTCAGGTTTCTAGCTTGTTGCCTATTGATAGAAAAAAATTACAATGTTAGTAATTCTACACATATGAAGAGAGAAGAGAGCATAATAAACTATCACCAGGAGGGTGGTGAATCATGAACAACAACACTCTACTCACCCTGGAACCAACCAATCAGTATGAACTAAATAAATTCTAGACAGAAATTAGAAAGCTCATATGAAGAACAGTATACATAATTTTAAAAATGTCAAATCAATCTCATCATATAAACCCTCACAATGCAAATTATAACGCCACAACAATCAACTCAGGCTACTCTACATCACAGAGATCTCGTAACACGAAAAGCCAGATCAATCAAAAAGTACAAACAAAAACAATCCTCTTGGCCGTTTCTTTGAGAGAGAAGCAAAGTGTTCGCGAGGACCACCGTCCATGAACAACACTAAATCCTCTAGCAAAGACTCGGGTTCAACCCATCCACACCACCTTTTCATCTTTTGATCATAGGTAGGATAAAATACAAGTACCACGGGAAACGATTAGAGGTTGTAGTATCTACAAATCTTTCTTCCTTCATTGGTATCATTATAGACCTGGTACAGGAAAATGATGAGTTTTAACCAAATATATAAAAGAGAGTTTCGGCTTAAGCATGTGATAGTCTAAAAAAGGGAAGTTCCACACTAAACCTGCCAAAAGATGAAGTTGGCTCTGATACCAACTTGTGGAATCCCGACCCGGCTAACTAAACCGTAGTCGTGCCTTCACTACATCCTAACAGAAATGGGTGAAGGATTGCTTATCAAGGAACAAGATTTTCTTGATTTACCGCATTCTATACCACCTGTCACACCCTGAGGTATGGCACGAACCCTTATTACTTAGTACCCATGTGTATAATCTCAGCATCTTACTGGTTGCATTTTTTTCTTCCTTAGGTCATGGATGCTTGTGTGATGATGTTGCGGAAATCCTAGCTCTCGTGTGTCACACCTCCAGAAGACAATCGTGCTGACATTCTACCAAGTAGATGGGCCGTCTCCATGGCCAAACTCTATCCCAAATTCAACAAATCAAACCGGAAAGAGACGTTTGAATTTGGGGAGACAATCATGGATATGGTATGTGCACGCCCTAAAGCTTGAACCAAAATGAATGTCAATGTATTTCAGTAGCAACCTATATATCTATATATGGCTCTACATCGATTTCTATATATATAGATATATAACACTATATTATTTTTAGTAGACCACTACAATTTATGGTTATTACGTCAGTTACAATTTGGTAATGTCTATCCATCTCTAATATGTACCTTCATCATTCGAGTCATCCAGTACTGGGGCTGCATCCCTTGCAAACGAGAACAGGGGCATCCCATCAGCGGCCAGCCCAGCCAACGGGAATACAGTACCACCCTGGGGGTTAGCGTCAGCAGCAACGTCTTCACCTCCAACAACTGCATAGACAATAACTACTTACTATAGATTTATGCCTTAAAAAAAAACAGTTTCAGATCGGGAGCTGATCATTTATTGTTCTTCTGATAACGTTTCAGTGGTGTTTATGTACTATATTTTTGGCAATAAATACGCACTCTCTATATGCCATGATTAATAGCTAACCTGTCTCAGGATCTACCTCAGATATCTCACCATTCGTTTTGTCCCCCTCATGTGCGCTCACGCCGCCGTGGACACCTAACGCATTTACTTACGGTCTATTCCGTTCCTAGGGAACAAATCATGAAGGAGGTTAACCCTATCCGACGATTCCCCAACGTTGGAAACGTTTGGATCCAGTGTGGCTGCCCTGACCCATATTCTCCGACGTCAATCATTATGTGTTTCTCTTTCCTTAGACCCTCATTGCCTTGTGCCGCACCTAACCTACAGACGAGCCACGACACTGTCACACGCCGGCTACTCTCCCCTTCGTCTGAGGTATCCATCGATGCCTGGGTCCCACGAAAATTGTCGCTGCTGCTAGCCGAAGACACATCGACAGGGAGTGAGCCACTTGGACTCCTTCGCACAACCTCAGCCAACGCAAAACCGTGTGTCACCAGCATGACAGAAAATCCCTCTATATCCAGAGTCATGTGATTGGGCATCGGTACAACATAGAGCTTCAGCTCGTGGAGATCCACCTGCATAGCAAGGAACATGTCCATGTCCGTGTCGTTTCGAATATGGACTGGCACCGGTTTGACAATCCCATCTTCGTCCATCCACTCCGACATCTTGTACGTTAGCTCGATATTCTCCTCATCCATGTTGATGTTGAGCTCTCTACAAATTATCGCCTTGACCGTAGCTATTTCCTGGCCCTCGCGCAGCTTTATACCTTTGCTAAGCTGGTCCTCCAGAAACCCCCCCCCCCCCCCCCCCCCCCCCATCTTTTATTCACCACCCCTGCTCTGCCCCGCACCAGATCACTCAGGACTTCCCACAGTTGCACCATTGTTGATAATCTCTAACAATATCAAATTCAGGACGATGCTGTTATTAATAAGAGTGAAGCTTCAAGTTGAAACTTAGATATTCATATATAGTAAGAACAGATTGAGAATAACTTACCTGATTATTAAGCTTGTAGCTCTATATGGAATTATAAGCAGGAACTAGTATTTATGGAGACTCCATAAACCTAGGTGTGCCCAGATATTTTAGTTTCCCACCCCGCTCATCGATAATTCTTATTGCAGCATTACATATGGCATTAACTCGCCACCGTCAATATCATGCTTACGTAAGGCGGTTGCGAATATATCTTGTCTCCTCATTTACTACAAAGCCCACAGTTAGCTTAAATTGATACCATAAATGTCCACATATCTACTTCATTCTTCCGCTCGCCCACGCGCACTCGATGACAAGAGATGTAAATAATCAAATCCTCAAATTATTGTTTGTCATCTTTTAGCTAGTTCCTTCTAGCTCATTTGTGTTTTGCTATTTACCTAATAAAAACCCAACACTTAGCCATCCACCTCTTTATCCCCCTGAACCTCTCCATCTCCTCTAGTGGCCGATACTGAGCCTCTCCAGAACACTGGCTTCTTGCTGGATCCTAATATCGGCTTGTATCTTGATATGCTGATCACTACGCCTTGATGTCGGGTTGCACTTCGATACTCCACTCCGATAAGAATCCCAGAAACTTCTCCAGCTTCTTTGAGCACTTCTCCTTGCTTCTGCACACTAAAACCCGACAAACCAGGTAACTACTATTAGTGACATCTAAAGAATTTGAAGCTTTTGGAATTTTCATGACTATTAATCTCCCTTAACATTTGCAGCTAGAGAAACTATCACTCTGTTCGATGATGACACAATAGATGAGTCTTACAGAGGCCCTATGCCCAACTTCTTATCATAAGCAAAAGCTGATAATAAGCTGAGATTCTATGAGGTAAAAGATGTTTCCTTTTCGATGTGTTTACTCTATTCGCTTCATGTATATGCTCATCTGCTATTTGTATTGTGTTTCACAGGTTCAGGAGAAGGACATATGCGAAAACGTCTGGCTTTGTCTATATACTGAATTCGCACTTTTATGCAGCTGGAGGTTTAATGAGGTACTTGATAGTGGTGGGTTTAGTCTTTATTTTTTGTGCAATTTATGAGTAAACTTTTGTGCAGGATGGATTTGCATCTTGTTTGCCTGTGGAGATGAAGAAGATAGTTGTGGAAACCATTGAAACTTGTAGAGAACCGTCTCTGAAGCTCAAGTCTCATAAAGCAATCTTCCACATAAGCTTCAGGGCCAAGGGTTGTGACTACAAATCAGTTTTAAGGAGAACGGCGGATGGGAAAGCAGCTGGACATATACTTGTCGAAATTAATTCGTGGGACGACTAAACTAGCTGGGCATATCGTTCTCGAAAATGTCTGTATAACCTTAAAGATTAATTTATTCTTTTTCATTAATTAATGACTTAATGTTGCCAAAACTTATTTATAACTTTCCGAAGCTAGTTAGTACATAGAGATTCTTCTTGGATAAATCGTGAACTGGGATCAGATCTGTATTGTGGAACAACCAATCCAAGTTACAGACTTGGCACTTATTAGGCGTAGGGACAAAAGGTCAGAGAACATACTGTTAATGGTGAAAGAATTAACTGATGTGAAATATCTAGTAAGAGGCACTTCTGGTTTCTGATTTTATCGTAGCAGGAAGACTGTGGAGTATTTTACTATTCATTAAACAATTATTTATTGATATATTTGTAACTCCCATTGAGTAAACTTGGAAGATATGAGAAAAAATATCTAAGGAGGCATATTTTTTATTGCATAACTCAAAATTGTTAGGAGTAATTACGAAAGTAAGAGAGGCTTATATAAATTTCTTATCTCAGTAAATTTTAGCCTGCTACCAGATAGCCCACCTGATATCGGTCCATGAGGTAGATTTGTCTTCTCTACTTTCTTGTTCATATTAGGCTTTTAACTCGTGCTACGCGCGAATCTGTATTAATAATTTAGTTTAATTTTTTTGGCTAATATTTTTTAAATTATCAAAATTATAATAAATTTATAAAAAATTTCTTTTATATAAAAATACAATAAAACATAACATGTAGTTTTTCCTATTTTTTGTAATAAAATTATAAATCTTATTAAGTAAAATCATAGTAATAACACCTAATGAATTATCCAACTTCGACGTGGATACATTTGATTTAAAAGATGATTTACTTACTAAATTTTTGGTGTTTTGTTTTGTGTCCTTGGGATTTCTATAGTTCTTCTTTTTCAAGATTTATATGTTTAAATATTTAGTGTTTGACTAAATATCTCACTGATGTTGTGTACCTATGCATATATAATATATGATTCATGTTGATTCGGATTTACTTTTGTTTGGATACTACAACAATCGTGTAAAGCTGCTTCTTGTTTCTCCACCAGATCTTCTACGAATTTTAGGTTAGATCTCAATTCAATTTATAAGATCTGTTTTATTTGCAGTCAACTATTTGATAATTTTTAAAAAAATATGTAAGATGGTGCGGAGTCTTCACATTATCATTGTTTTTATTGTTTGTATGTTTTATTCATGTTTAGATTTGAATAGTTTATCTAAATATATTCTAATTTAAATTTGATTCATAACTTTATCATATTTTATTATTTATATGAAATTTTAGAAGATGTATTCATGTGTTGTTAATGTTGGCTAAGTTACAAGTAGTAACTATATATAAAAATCAAACTTTATTACTTGTTATATTTTGAATGTAAAGTCACTTGTGTAGTTTTTTCTTTGTTAGTTTTTAAACCAGACGCATCCAAGCTAGTAGTCTTTGTAAATTTATTGATTTAAAAACTTGTATAACATATTGTAACTTTATATGGTTATTCATAGTCAATACCAATATTTTAGAAATCAAGAATTATCTAAAAGTAACAAAAAAAAATTTATATATATAGCTCAAAAGGTTGTGTTAAAATATATTATTTTAATTTGTTAAAAATACAAAAAAATATATATATTTTGTAATGATAACAACAGAATAGCCAAGGGCATCAACGCTCCATGTTTGTTAAATTTCCTTTGAGAGTACAAAACATAGGTATATTTTTTATTAAAAAAATCATCTAAAAAAAATTAACTTGATATTTATAGTAATTACTTAAAAATATTAATATAAATAAATTTCATTAACAGAAAACTAAAAAGAAAATTATGTACGTAAAATGTCAATATTTTCAAGCAAAATATTTTTTAAAATAAAATAATAATTAATATCAAAAGAAGTAAATTAAAAAAGTCATATAAAAGAAAACTAACTTGATATTTAGGCTAAAATTTTTAAAAATCAACAGAAAAATTTAACTAAAGAAACAAATGATGTTATAAACTTTTGAGAGAAGTCCACATAAAATTTAAAATGAACAGTTATAACATATCATATCAGCATTATAACTAAAATGAAAATTAATCTAAAAAACAAATTTAACAAAAAAAATATTCGCATAAAAGCAATTAACTTAATGTATATGCTACATATTTTGATAATCAACAAGAAAAGAGACTTTAATTAAAAAAATATAGATATAAGTCCTAAGTATCAAACATACATAAAATTGTATAAATTAAAATAAAATATAAAATTATTATCAAAAGATTTAAAATATATAAAAAATAAACAAAAGTAATTTAAAATTAGTTATAAAAAAATTCCTAATTTCTAAAATAATGGTAGCGATAATGAATAACTATCTAACGTTGCAATAGGTTTATATGTATTTCTAAATCAAATATATTTTTAATATATAAAGATTAAAACACTATATAAGTAATCTTACATTCGAAATTTAACAAGTAGTATAATCTGATTTCTATACATAGTTGCTACTTATATCTAAATCAACATTATTAACACATGAATAACATATTATGAAATTATATTTAAATAATAAAGTATGACAGAGTTATAAATCAAATAAAAATTGGTATATGTTGACAAAATTTTCAAATCAAAACATGTAGAAAGTACACAAAATATAAAAATAGTGAAAAATAATGTGAAGACTCCACACTCTCAATCTTACAAACTGTAAATTGTATATTTTAAGTTCTATTATATAAACAAAAATTTCTAAAAATCTATTATAATTTGATAATTTAAAACAGAATAGCTAAAAAAAAATTTAATTAAATTATTAATACAGATTTGCGCGTAGCGGGGGAGTTAGAATATAGTCTATTAAACAAGTAAGCAAGATTTACTGATTCTGATAGTAACAATCTATGAATCTAAAAGAAAAATGGAGCAAAAGTATCAACAAGGACGAATTACTTATGCGCAGCTTGAGATAGAAGTGCGTAAGCGTGAATGTGAAAGAAGTTTATTAAAAAATAATCTGAGAAAAGTGAGAAAAAATAGAAATTAGTAATTTCGCAGGTGTTAAAACAGGAATCTGATCAGATTCAGTGAATCTGATAGTAACCATGAATCTAAAAGAAAAATGGAGCGAAAGTATCAATAAAGAATAATTAATTACCCAAAGCTCGAATGTGGAAGAAGATGGGCACTAGATGTGCAGAAAAATAGAGAAAACTGAGAGAAAAACAAGAAAGAGAGCCAGAGCTTAAATTTAAAGGATTTTATTCTGAGTTTTATTCTAATTTACATCATTCTACCGTCAGATTGACACGAGTCGACGTGTGTTTTCTTAATGTTTTAGCGTCCAAATAATATAATGTCATTAAGGTTGAGTTAGCTAAACAAATAAAAGACCCAACTTGAATAATCATCAGCCCAATAAAGCCCAGTTAGCTATTGATTTGATCACTCTCAGTCCTTTGTGTTCACTCTTTCCCTTCTAGTGAATATTTCTTACCATTCTTAAGAAAGTTAGTATATTTCTCAATATCTTGATGTGTATCTCTTTTTTACTCAACAGCGACTTTGCTCATGGTATCCATTGAAACGACCAACTGCTGATCATGCATTAAATCATCCGTTTTTTATGTGTAATTTGAATATCCGCTTGCTTTTTTTAATCTATCTCACATTCTCTCTCTCTCCGAACAGTTGGAAATGTATTGATAGTTTCTGAATATATGGCTACGCAGGTTTCATATCCTCTACATGACCTTGAGTTGAGGCTTAACAATATGGGTGAGCTTTTGTCTCTGTTTCTACTTCATGTGTTCTGTATTCATAACCTTAATGATTAAGTTCGGTATCACTTACTGTATTCAGCAGTAGTGATGCCTAATCTTGAGCTAAATCTATGGGACTTTAACACAAGACCAGATGAATGTTTTTATTGGAGTAACTTGGAACACAAAATGTACAAGTATCTTCACTAGGTTTTGGTTTTCAATAGTTTATTTTTAATAACTTAATGTTTTATGTTTTTATCGTGAGATCATTATAATAATTAAGTTTTGAGGGTTTGGGGTTTTCACAATTATTTTTAATAATAGAATAGAATGTATTATTGAGTTATTTGTGTTGATATACAAGATAATAAGATACATATATATAGTGATTAACATTAACATATTGTTAATACCATATAATGTAAACTTTACTAATCTAAATCTAACATATTTAATATAATATCTTGGTCTTCAAGTCTTTCCAATTAGTTTTTATAGGCTTACAAGCTTCATTTCATAAACGATCCACAAGATACATATTTTGTGTCCCAAATTACTCACAATAGTTTTCTTGGCTTGACACTGGCTGTAAAACCAAATGCTCCTTATTTTGCAGGATTGGTCTGTATAATGCATCTCAGGACATGAGCGAGGTAAGCAAGCTTAAACGCCATGAACGTCACTTAAAGTCTTAAACATAGCAGTGTTAAAACTTCTCCATGAGTTTGTGATGAATCCAAAAATCTCTTTTCTATGTTTGCAAAACTTAATTGGTGGTATACAATGCAGAATGATCAGGTGCTGAAAACTTGAGCGTACGGTAAACTGCAAATTTAGTTTTATGTTTCTCCGAGGAAAAAAGTTGTTTGAATTGCTTTTTCTTGAACGTTTACACTTTTTCTGGTCTCTGCTCTCTCTTTATCTCTGTCCTTCAGGTGAGAATGATTCCATTGTTATGTTTGTGTTAACATAAACGATGTTTTTCTATTATCACTTGAATATACAGTAGAACCTTTATAAATTAATATTCGATAAATTAATAATCACTATAAATTAATAATTTTTACCGATCCCAATTCAGATCAGTGTAAAAATTGACAAAATTTGATAAGATAATAAAATAATAGTTTTTTTGAAAGTTCTATATAAAAATATGGTCCTAATAATAATATAAATTAATAATTATACATTTAGGCATATATTAATAATATAATATAATAAACAATAATAATATTGTTGTTTCAAGTTTATAAATTTGTTTGATTTATCTTTTAAATTCATTATTATGATATTTTATGAATGAATTTTACATTGTTAAAAATATTGATTTTTTTTTATGAATGAATTTTACATTGTTGAAAATATTGATTTTGTTTTTTTGATGATTACTAAAAATTCAAACTAAAAATATTTCTATAAATTAATAAAATATTAAATTATTAATTTATCGATTAATTAATAAATTTATAAATTAATAAAATTTGAGAATTCTAATATTATTAATTTATAGAGATTTTACTGTACGTGTCGTCTGTTTTAATCACTTGTGTTTATATCTTTTATATTTATATAATGGTACAAAATTTGCATTAATGATCGTTGTGGAGTGGGCTTGCTATTCGACGTGAGTTGGTGGGCTTGTTATCCTTCACCTGCTGCGACAACGTTTTATCAGAAAAAAGCCCTAATGTTTTAGAAAACATCTTCCTCTTTCCTCTTTCCTCTTTCTCATCTTTGTCGGAAGCTTAGCCAAACAAATTCTTTCATCAGAAAAACCTTCAAAGCCGATCTACTATCATCTTTCAAGCTTTATATCTCTGCGTCTCCAATTTCAGCAAGGAAACTTGTCGATCAGGTAATCTGCTTTAACCCTCCATCCATCTGAAAGTAGATCGCTGAATGAGATTATTGTGAGGGAACGAAAATTCATGGAAAGGAGAAGCCTTTGGTACGAATTTTTCTTGATAATCCATTGTTGTGAACTATTACATCCAGAGGCGGCTCAAACATTTTGTGAACTCTGGGGCAAAATATAAAATTAACATCATTAATACAAATTTTCTATTTTTATAAAAAACAAACACTTAACAAAAATTCAGCTAAAAGTTCTCGTCCAAAAAAAAAACGGAGTTCTAATCATAAAAAAATTGATTCCTCTGCTTTCTTCTTCCTAGCTTTTCCTTCTTCTTCTTAGCTTTTCTTTTAGGTGTCCTCTTGAACCCGAGAAAAAGAGAAAAACCATAGTCATCTCAAGAAAATAAATACTATCATATTTTAACCCCTTTTTCAACCAAAAGATCTCTCATTTTATTGTCAAGATTGTCCCAATATCGAGGATAAAAAGAACTTGGTTTTTCATGAACATTCGATCTAATGCATTATCATGCCCACTCAAGTGGCTAGAGCCATCAACAAAATGATCATTTAATTGAGAAACATTATCCACACTAGCAGGTTCTAGATCTTTATTAGCATCTCCTCTAGTCACAAAATCATCTATAGAACCTTTCAGTGATCTGATAAACAATTCTATTTTCCTTTTTTTTTCTCTTTACATATCGAGATGTTATGATTTAAATTAAATGTAAGTAAGAAAAACATCACCTTGATTTAGGAATAGAAATCTGAAGATTCTGAACATCTACAAAGAAAGATGTAAACCTGGAATTGAATAAGAGAAATAAAATTTAGTTGTGTCCCAAATCAAGTGAAATAAACAGTAAAACAAAATCAGAATCGCAAAATCAGAACAAAGAATTTTTTTCATGAACATGTGTTGTCTGCAAAACCAGAGAGGCATATATGTGAACAGATCAATTACCTAATTTTGTGGTAAAGATGAAGGGTTTTGTTGAAAGAGAACATAAATTTTGTGGGATGAAATCAGTTTTTTGGAAGAAACGATGAAAGATTTTGTTGGATTGGGAATGTGAAAAGATAGAGAGATTGAAAGATAATGAAGAGTAGAAGAGATGAAACCTTTCGACTTTTGTAAGTCACTCACGACAAAACAAAAAAAAAACTTATTTATGGACCCTTTTTTTATTTTTTACGGTAAATTTGGACTTTTTTTTTAAATAACTAGGTATAAAATTTGCGCTACGTGCGAATCTGTATTAATATTTTGGTTTATTTTTTTTAGTTACTATCTTTAAAATTATTAAAAATTATATATATTTACAGAAATTTTATTTATATAAAAGAATTTAATATGTAATGTGTAATTTATCCTATTTTTATTTATAAATTTTAAAAAACTATTAGGTTAAATAATAACGATGACATCTATTGAATTATCCAACTTTGATGTACATATACATTTGATTTAGACAAATATAATCTTGCTAAGATTTTTATATTATTTTTTGTTGTCCATAAAATTTTTATAGTTCTTTTTTTTTTAAAGGTTTATGTGTTCAGATATTTAGTTTTTTATTAAAAGTTTTAATGATGTTGTTTACCACTGTATGTATATGATTTATGTTGATTCGTATTTAATTTTGTTAGGAAGCTGTAATGATAATGCAAAACCATTTTTTCTTTTTTCATCATGTCTTTCAAGAGTTTTATGTTATATTTTTATTCAATTTTTATTGTTTTAATTGTTAAATCGAGTTGTTGTAGATTTTTTATAAATTGATAATTGATAATAGCTATTCTTTTATACATGTATTGTTAATTATTAAATTTTTTTATTTAACTATTAAATTTTTAAACTATATTAATATTTTTTGATTTAATAAATATGTTGATTTGAATCAATCGGATTGAATTTATTTTTTTTTGTTGGACATAATTTGTTAAATTAACTTTTAATATTTTAATTATATTTAATAATTTTTGGTTTGATTTAAAAGTATGATGTGGATTAAATAAATCAAATTTTTCCGTCCTAATCATATTTAATATTTTTTATTTAATAAATATGCTGATGTGGACCAATCAGATCGAGTTTTTTAATCCCATGTGGAGCCTTCAATGCACTATGCTATCAATTTTTATAATTATATGATTGTTAATTATTAATTTTTTTATTTAATTTTTAAACCATATTAACATTTTTTGATTTAATAAATATGTTGATTTGGATCAGTCAGATTGAATTTATTTTTTTTGTTGAACATAATTTGTTAGATTAATTTTTAATATTTTAATTATATTTAATATTTTTTTGTTTGATTTAAAATCTGATGTGGACCAATTAAATCAAGTTTTTCTATCATAATCATACTTATCATTTTTTTATTTAATGAATATACTGATGTGGACCAATCAGATCGAGTTTTTTAATCCCATGTGGACGCTCTCAATGCACTATGCCATCAACTTTTATATATTATATGATTTGTTGTATTTGCTAACTAAAAAAATTACTACTATTGGGCCTTTTTTTTACTGGGTCTTGGGGCAGTGCACCATTTGTCCTGCGTGGTAAGCCGGCCTGATTATATCGTCTTCTTCACCAAAATTCAGAAAATATTTCGAAGATGAATGAAAACCACCAGTCTTGCAACACAAAAAATAGTGTATAATATAGATATATTCAGAATCGTAACTTTACAAAATCAAATCACTTGCACATATATATCGGCAAATAAAGATTCCCAAGAAATAGATCTAAGTTTACCACTCCATAGAAGCCATACGCACCATATGGTAAAACTATCAAAGTACATCTCGCTTTGTTGATTTGAACGACCCAGACAATTACTCCAGTTAACCCAGCCACTGCTTCCCGAGTTCTTTGACATATGTTGCCTTCTATGAACTCGCTCCGGCTGACTTACCGGCTAGGGCAAAACTGATAGCAGCAGAAGTAAAAAAAAAAAAAATCTTTTACCTTCTCATTAAGAGTAAAATAGCCAAGAAAGAGTACAAAGAAAATTGGAAAGTGTCTCACATGCAAAATATGTATAAAATGAAATCAAACACCCCGAAAATGTGTGTGAGGGTAAACGACTCAACTTTTATATAGTATTGATTAGATCCAAACTTATTTGACCCATCAATTCATTATGATAAAAATTTCAATTCATGATGATTCAAAAGTCAAATCAGGTTGAATGGATCCCTCATTTTAACCAATTTTAACACTTCTAATGGTACCAGTGTTTTGGAAATTTTCTTAAATCGTTCATATAGTTTACGACTTCAATTAATTTTTTTTGTAGCTTAAAAACTGAAGCAGGGCGAGCTTAGGCGAAAACAGAAGTCTAGAAAGTCTTTTTTGAAAAAATCACATACATACGAATTTTCTCATTCATATAATAAGATGCATATATGAAGGTGCCTTTGATAATTTATTAAAAAGGTTTCCCTTAGTCAATACAAAAGAAACATATTTGGTTTGTTTAACTTAAAACATATATGTTTAATTTATTGTTTCCACTTATAGTCTAATTTGGGCATTTTTTGACCATATGTGAAGTAAATACCATCTTCTCTAGCATCCTAAAAGTTCTTTTTACCATAATGAATTATATGACCACCATCTTCATTACCCGTAAACGCTGCATGAAACTTGAAATTAGACCCTTGCCATAGGTCACAGAAAAACATTGTTTTTAAAACACTATCATGAAAACTGTAATCATAAGTTTCTCCGGCCCGCAAAAAGTGGAAGCCTAGATCGTCGTCATCCGATATGCAATTAATCTTCAATATATTGTTCCGGCCTAGAATTTTTTTAAAGAGTACTGTATTTTTCTCATTCCACTTTGCGTTACTCAACCCTACGCACAATCCAATAACGAACAGAAAACACGAGAAACGATTCATTATTTTGGGTGTTCGAAATGGATTTTTTCTATACTTCGTTTAAATTTAGAAGTAATCTGTAGATGATTAAGAGGAGGGATGCATTTTTATACAAGAGTATCACATGGTTGTTCATTCTATTTTTTAACATCTTTGTTTTTGATTAATAAGAATCCGTTAATTGGGTTTGCTGTTTTTCTTTTGTCCTTATGGCTTTTGTTGTTTTGCATCTAATTAAAGAGTAATGATTTTGATAAATTTATGCCAATGTTCAGCTTTTACATTTAAAATCTGCTCAAACACGACAATCTCAACAAGAGTCTTCTGCAGTATTCTTAAGTACCCAAGCTTTCCTCAACTTCAGAAACCTCACAGAAAAATCTCGAATGAAGTAATTTTTGAACGCTTGAATTGAACAGCTTTGTACATCATGTACTCCAATCTTGACCCTTGACTTGAGCAACATAACCTAAAATTCAACTTTTCCTTGCTTGCAATCTGAAACTGTTCATAAACTTAATGACAATGAGACTGAAATGTACATAACTTAAAACTGAATGAATTCTTACACGCCAGTAACCAAATCTAGTGTTCCACATGAGCTTTGACCAACAATTACTACTTCTATCTCAGCAAAACGTCCACCTGAGTTCCACACTCCAAATGAGCTCTCCTTTGGCCAAAACATAGCCCCATATGTTAAGAATACTCCTGCAAAATTTCTGATCAAGCCGAGCTTGTTTGACCATCCAAACAAAATTTCTTATCAAACTGACCACAACATCTTCTGTACAGGCATGTCCAAGAAATGCCTGAATAAGTTTCAAAATAACCGTTAAAATCTCAATCCTACCGTTGATATTTTCAACATTTTTTCAATAATTCTTGCAACATGTTTATTACCCACTTCCATTTTATTATGATCAGCCACCATAATTATTAATTCGTATTGGGTTTTTTTTATCTACATTAAATGTATTTGATTATGTTCAAATTCCATTTGAATCTCTTTTCTATCTATAAAATATTTATGACGCTTTTCTATCTATAAAACATTTATGACGCTTATTGTATTATTCAATGTTGATGTGATTGTAAAACATGCATATTTAATTTAGAGAAAAATATATATATATATATATATATATATATATATATATATATATATATATTTTGGCTGAGATCCTGATGTTTTGTTTTCCTTGTGCTTTTGTAATTGTTTTGATATATATAATAGGTTGTTTTGCAATTTTTCTATATATGGATAATACAAACAATTTTCCAATGATGTCTATGATTTCGGAAACAAATTGAAAATTTCTTTATCTAAAATTTATGTAGTCAAATCTTTGGTATCTGATCAATGTTGTGTACCTAAGCATATATTATCCTTACAATTTTAGAAAATTGATACAATCACTCTTTTAATATGTATTTATATTGTATATATTTGATATATTTTTTTATTTTTCATAAAACATTATGCAATTCTGTAACATATTATCACCCACTTTCATTATACTATGATAAGCTACAATCATCATTTAATTTATATATAGTATCTTATATACATCAAACGCGTTTGATGACCTAATATGTGCAAATACCATATGGATACCTCTTATATTTACAAAAGATTCATGACATCTATTAAATTGTCCAATCTCGATATGGTCGTAAAGCACTAACAAACGTTCTAGGACTTATTTTCTTAATTAGTATAATTTAAAAGTCTATGTTTAAATAATTTTAGTTTTTATATAGAATCCACGCGATGATGGTATACATTTGGTTCGAAATGTTATGTTATAATGGAAAATATATAACAAAAATTTCAGGTAGAAAACGGCGTTGTTTCCGTTTTATAAACAGGACACCGACGCATAGCCAAAGTATCTTTATTCAATATCATAAAACCTATTATACTAGTGAAACTCATACTAGTATAAATTAAACCAAACTAGGCGATCCATTTTTCATTAAGCACATCAAATTTAAAACAGATTAATAGAGATAATCAACTTAATTAAGCACTAACAATCTCTAATCAAATTTTTAAATTCTCATAATCTACCACATCTAAAAACTCTAAAAAATCTACTCACTGATCATCATGGAAAACACCAAATCACAATAGTAAATGATGTTAAACATGATTAAAAGGGAAATTAGAGAAAATTTAATGATGCAAATACATAACTTAAGATTTAAAAGAAGATATTGTCTTACAAAGATGAAAGAACACTTAAGAAACTAAGCAAGATCAAGACCCTAAAGCAATGGCAAACTTGTAAATAAAAATATCTCGGACAAGGCCAACATCGATCACAAATGGATGATCGATTCAGGTCCCTGGTGCTTGACATCGATCAGCTAGTGATTGATGTGCCTGATCGATGTGAATCTTCAAAGCTTATGCCCGTTTACATTGATCAATTTTGATCGATGCTGGTGATCGATGTGGGTGTCCTGTCTTTTCACATTGATCACAAGTGATCGATGTGGATGATCGATGTGGACTTCCATCTTCTCAGCTGCTTTACATCGACCAAATGTGATCACTGTTGTTCTGGTCATGGTCGATATTGCACCAAAAACTATCTTCCTTGGCTCCTTTTTCTCCTCCTTAGCTTACGTAACTCCTTGAATCATCCCCATGCTTCCTCCTTGCTCCAAACAGCTTCTTTGATACCTAAAAACATCCTTAATGCATAGAGAATGCAAATTATAATCTAAATACAACCTAAGTCTAAAAAGAAAAGAATATGAGACTAAAGAGAAGGAAAACACGCAAAAGAAAACCAAAACATGAACTAAATGCAAGCCTAAATGATGTAAATGCAAGAGATGTCATAACACGTCCCAACGGTTCTTATCAACCTCAAGAGATTGCTTTTGGACCTTGTGGACACCTTATGTGAGATATTAATGAAGACACGGTCCGATGAACATAGATGCAGTTTTGTTCACTGATATAGCGGGTGGACTAAGATGGATGCAGAAGTATTTGATGGACGCTGTAGTATGGGCAAAAGAGTGAATGTAGGGGTATTGTGCATTGCTGCTGGTGTCCAAACATTGTTATCCACGTACATGTTGATGGTTGTGCTTGTGTTTTGTTTCTGAGGTATAATGGATAAAATGGAGAGTGGTTGAAGCACTGGCGAGATGTAGAGGATGTAAAAATTTGAAAACGAAGTGGGCTAATGGCGAGAGTAAATAAGTGTTGGAAACAAGAAGATCTAAGCCGTATATGCAATGATACAATAAATGAATAGCTAATCTCTTGGCTGTAGATATGACACAGAGGTGGGGTTGATAAAAAGTGTTGAAGGAAATGGGTATTCTAGGTTAAAAGGAGGGCCAGAGCTCGGTGGACAAGTGGTCGACACTAAACTTCTGAAGCAATGGAAGGACACTGCTTGGTGACTTTTGGTGAATGGAGATGTTCAGGGGACCGTAAGTGGGATATGGGTCATCAGCTGGGTCGAAGTCCTGTCCAGTCGAGGTCGATGATGTAGAGATTATGAGCCATGTGGAGATGACAGAGGAGTGACTGCGGAGAGAGGGATCTTAGATGGTGGACGGAGATTGTAAAACCGTAAAATTTGAATCCCGAGGAGAGTACTCGTACATTTGATGAAGACATAAACGTGCAGCAGATGGGGTTATGTCAATGAATTTTGGGAGCCTCTACTCGACGGTGCATATGGAGGTTTGAATGCGGTTGAGTTAGTGTGTCCTCCCACCGAAGAAGGTAGCGGCGGACCAGCTGAACCACAGAGGATAATATTATGTCAATTAAATAGCACGTTTGACCACAACGTGTTAGTTGGAGAGGGAAACTACGATGAGGCCACTTGGAACATTGAGGGATGCAATGGAAGGGAATCAAAGAAGCGTGGGTTGGGAGGCACGGGGATGGTCAGTGAGGTAGGAGTCAGGATTCATGGTCATAGGTTTGGGGGGCAACCTCAAAAAGACATAACCCGCGGCGAGAGGCCCAATGATGTTGGTGGATCTGATTGGGGTGGACTAAAAGTCCGCCGGGGGTGGTAAATTTACTGGAAGTCCTGGGTAAAGTGGCATGGACAATAGTATCTTAGACGCGAGGGATGGCCGAGGAACGATGGACAAGAATAAACTTATTGCCAAAAATACCGAGTTGGGTCGTGGTGAATAAGGGTGGATGATAAACGAACACTAGACCAGATTGATGAAGAGGAGTTTGACATTCCACCATTGTTTGACGACACCAAATACGAAAGTGCCATCCCAGACCTTGATTTGGTTGGTGACATGGTTTACGAGGGAAATGTGTATGCCAGCAAACAAGACTATTATATAGCGTTGACTGTATACGCTATAAAGCAGGTGACAAATTACCATCAAACAATGACAAAAAGACATTACTTTGTACTGAGTTTCACTGAAGAAAAATGCGATTGGCGGATAATGGCAAGGGAGTTCAAAGACTGCTGGTATTGCGAAATAAAGAAAGCTCAACTCAACCACACTTGTGACATAGATACAAGAATTGCAGTTAAGAAGAAAGTCTTGTCGTGTGTAATTGCAGCTGTGTTCAAGGCTAGATATGAAGATCCTAGAAAAGGGCTCAAAGCAGCTGAGCTATAGAGACTAGTGCTAGAGGATACATGGTGTCAGCTTCGTATATGAAGTGTTATAGAGCGATGGGAAAAACTGTTGATGATGTAAGAAGATCGGACAATGAGTCGTACGTCGGATTGGCTTTGTATTTACATATGTTGAAGCTTGCAAACCCATGCACAATAGCGGATATAAAGATAGAGACAGATGAATTTAGCGTCAACAGATTCCTATATGTGTTCATGTTGTATGGAGCCTCGATATCTGGGTTTTGGAGGCCGAGACACTTAATTGTGCTAGATGGGACGCATATGACAAGGAAGTTCAAGGGGGGTTTTGCTTACACCAAGTGGACAAGACACCAATTTCCAGGTGTTCCCTCTTGCGTATGCGGTAATGGACAGTGGGAACGAGGATGCATGGACATGGTTTCTACCAAAACTTGAGCGTATCTTAGTGGATAGCTCAACGTTGACCATTGTATCTGATAGGACTGCTGCTATTTATGCGGCAAAGAAAGTGTACCCAAGGGCACATCATGTCGCATGTATTGTGCACCTGGCTAGAAACGTGAATTTAAAGTTTAAGAACAAAAGACTCACGAAAATGGTAGTTAGTACAGCTTTTGCGTTTTGTGTCGGGGGATGTGTTCGGGAAGATCCAGGCAACAAATGGGCTGTGCGCTAAGTATCTGGAGACGATCAGTATACCTCATTGGATGAAGGCCCATTTTGCTCGAGAGAGGTACAATATTATGACAAGCAACGCAGTTTAACAGCTAAACAACGCGTTGAAGGAGAGAAGGCCTTCGACGATAGTATAACTGAGGAAGTTCATCCAGGAGATGATGACAAGATGGTTTAGTGTTAGGAGAAAAAAGTCACTGAAACATCTAGGCGGTTTACCGCCGAAGGTGGACAAGATCATGACATAAAGCCTTATGAACTGTAAGGGGAGTAAAGTGAACGTGGTTACTAATTGGAGCTGTGAGGTTGTAGGCCAATTTGAGAAGAAGCATATGGTTTTCCTTTTAAGAAAAAAGTAGATGGTAATGGTCCTAATGGTGTGTATCATTGCAGGTAACTAGGGGGAAAAAGAAACTCCTAACAAGTGTGGCCGCTGTGGACAATCATGGCACAATAGAACAAGTTGTTCACAACCGAAATGAAGATGGTGGATTGCGGATCTACGGAGACGGAGATCGTGTGGATATGTAGTTGACCATTGTGTTTTGTTTTTTTTGGGGTGGAATGTAGTAAATGGTTGTTGGTTGGTTTTTTGGTGGTAGTAGAAGTGGTTGGTGATGGTGATGGTGATTGTTGGTTTTAGTGGAGTAGCATTGTAGTTTATTTTATAAATAGTACATGAATTGGAGATTAATGTTAATGTGGAGACTCTGTGAAAGAGGACGTTGTTGGTAGGTCAATGGAATGCATCAATGTTTTTTGAATGTTTGTGTATGTATGAAATGCTGAGTATATGAAGGTGTTTATAAAATGACTTGACAATGATGGAAACGAAGTAATGGTGTGAATATAATGGAAATCTAGATTGTATATGATGTAGTGGTTACCGGATACTATTGCATAATCTGTGGAGATTGATGGACAGAAAAATCCAGGACATTTAGTAGGCGGATATATGATGTGTGGTATATTGTTGAGTACAAATCATGTTTGGGCCACTAATAAAATTTTGGGCATTGTCATCGGCTAAGAATAATGGATTTAACCTAACGAAGTAAGTCTGTATAAAGATTCGTATATGTGTTTGTGTGTGGTCACCCAATCCATCTTGAAGAAGTTCAAAATCAGAGATAAATACTTAAAAGAATGTTATCTGCCGCGTAGTTCGGGTCGGGGCGAGTTCTTCTAGACAAAACCAGAGCCAGATGGAGGGTTTATTGTGCTATAGTAACAGGGTGATGGTGTTGATGAAGCCTTGAACAGATAATAACCTTGGAAGAATGTATTACTCGTGTGAGAGATATAATTTCTACTGCTGCGCGGGCGATGAGAAGCCACATAATTGACAGAAGCAGAATTTATTAGAGTTTGATTCATCTTAGATATCTAAAATATTTTACAAAGAAACCATGTGAGATTCGATTCGGTTGGATTCCTTTTAATTTGTTTCGGTTCCATTCCAGATCATTTGTTCAAACAGGTTTGTTATTACAACAGAAAATAGGGTTAAAACTCTATTTTATCTTTTGTTGGGGAAAATACTTTAAAAAATCTGAAGTAATTTACATTTGTCAAAAAAATACCTCAATTATTTAGACTCCTAAAAATAAATCCGATATTTTTTTTATTGCCAAATTAATATACAGACATTTAAAATTTATAAATTTGCAACTATGATTTTAAAGCCGTCAGTTTGATTAACGGAAGCCATAAACAGTGTTAAGATTTTTAACAGTAATTACATTTAATTTATCCAAAATTGCATAAATCCCCTCTCCCTTAAATCGAGTTGCCCTAAATTTATTTTCCCCAAATCACTTCCTTACGATTCTTCTTGATCACCATAGCTCTCTTTTACTTGCTCTCCTCTTTGTTTATCCTTTCTTAAGCCCATGACCAGTCCGCTTTCTCCCCAAGAGGAGCAATAATATCTGGAAGACCAACAGCTTTGTAACCGTGTTGCTGCAGAATTCTTAGTCGAAAGCTTTCTTATCTTTCTTCGCAAACCTCGCTGCAAACAAGACAAAGTTACATGAGAAATCATGACAATGTTGAAACTTTAAAGAACAATGAAGCAGAGGACGATGAGAGATCTGGCTTCTTGATCTTTCTCTTCTTCTTCCCAATCTCTGGATTATCTGCGTTTGGATCAGAAGCCCCATTAGTCCAATTTAATCAAATAGCCAACCAAAAGAAAAACCTCAAAAAATGTTGAAGAGAAAGTAATGAATTTTCTTGAATTTCTAACAAAATAGTTCACAAATAGGCAAAAAGATTTTGAATTTAGATTTTGTCTATATGCAAATACGATCCTCTGGGTTTTGAGTTTTCTTCTTCGTCCATATCTGTTCAGCAAATCGAAAACAAAAGATCCGAGATGAGTATATTTGGTCACAATGTTTAAATTCAAATTAAGCATCAAAACTTTTGTAATCTAATTGAGAAATCCTGTAAAAATAAAGAGCTTTAAACCCTAAACTGAATCGGAGGTTCATCAATGACAGCGGTTGATTCGCGACGTAGCCGGCGATGGCAAGGGCAAAATCAATTTGAGGAAAATAAATTTAGGGCAAATCAATTGGGGGATTTGTGCAAATTCAGATAAACTAAATCCAATTGTTATTAAAAAAAATTAATACTGTTTATTGTTTCCATTAATTAAGTTGATGGTGTTAATATCATGGTTGCAAGTTGGCAAATTTTGAATGTTTGTGTATTAAATTGGTGATAAAAAATACTTGGAATTTCTTTTTGAAAGCATAAATAATTGATTTATTTTTATAGCAAATATATATTACTTCAGACTTTTTAAAGGTTTTTTCCCGGACAGTTAAAATTTGATATTACCAAATTTATTTTTTACACGTGTATAATGTTTTCTTAAACTCTCATATAAAATCAAAATTCAAAATATAATCGTGTTTCATCCCAATATAGTAGGTGTGGATGAACACTTGCTTTGCTTCTGTTGACTCCATGAAAGCTTCTCTATTTACCCAGATTCCGCTTCCCATGGCCACCGTTAAGAAGACAGTTCGCGTAGCGGCTGCTCAGATGACATCTGTCAATGATCTGATGGTCAATTTCAACACATGCTCTCGTCTCATACAAGTAATCAATTCTCCTTATCTCCATATTCATTTACCGATTATGTTCCACAATTGACCTATTAGGTTTTGATTATATATTAATGATACATTCTGATAAGATTTTCAAGTTATACATTTTTCCATATGAAGTAGATGAGGAGTAAAACTCAAAATTTGCAAATTTTTTAATGATTTTGAAGTAAAATAAAAAGAAAGAGTATTAATCTCAAATGAATGAAATTTGAAATCTGATTGTTATTATCCAAATTAATAGAGAGTTTTAGAAGAGTAATAAAAAAAACCGATTAAATGAAAAAACTGGTTTTAGTAGATTAATAATAGTGACATTACATTTCTTTTGTAAAAACTAAACTGTCAAAACGTAACAAAATGATATACCATTGTATGATAACATAACAAGTACTGCATAATAACGTATGTTTAACCCTAGTATTGACTTTTTTCACTGACAAAAGGAAGCAGCAACGGCCGGAGCAAAGCTGATTTGCTTCCCTGAGAACTTCTCCTATATGGGAGAGAAATCAGGAGACAGCGTAAAAATCGCCGAAGCATTAGACGGCCCAGTGATGCAACAGTATTGCTCTCTCGCCAGGTAAGTGTAATGATGTTCGCTTTAAGGTACATTAAGATAGTTTCCTCTTTATGGCGTTTATCTAACATGTTTTGTGTTTTGTAGGGATTCAAAAATATGGTTGTCTCTTGGAGGCTTCCAAGAGAGATTTGATGATACTCATTTGTGTAATACACATGTTGTGATCGATGATGCTGGGATGATTCAAAGCACTTACCAGAAAATGCATTTGTAACTATTTCTAATTGTTGAGTTGTTTTCTTTTTTCTGAAATGTTTCGAATGTATTTGATTAGAATCACTAAATGACAACTTCTCTATCTTTGAAGGTTTGATGTTGATGTTCCTGGTGGAAGCTCGTACAAAGAAAGCAGCTTTACGGCTCCAGGTAAGCCTTGAATCTTGTTCATCTTGTTGATTAGAGGTCTTTGAGCATTTGATTTTCATGAGTACAAAGTACTGCGATTAAGAAAGTAAGAAAAAAGTATTTGGAACAGCTCAAAATCCAAATTCGTTGTTTAGAACACTTGAAGTTTGTATCGATAACATTGCGTTTGTCAAATCATTAAGCTGATATTCTCCTACAGATTGGTTTTTGTGCTTCTCACTTAATAATATTTAGGAACTGATGTATTTTATATCTATAAGATAAATCTTTAAATCCTTTTTTTTTCAGGGACAAATATTGTTTCTGTAGACAGTCCTATTGGGCGCTTAGGCATTACTGTATGCTATGATTTGAGGTTTCCTAAGATTTATCAGCAACTGAGATTCGACCAGAACGCTCAGGTAAAATCCAATGTAAAATCCAACTTATTATGATTATGATTTTTCTAAACTCTTAAAGAAATGAAATGAAACATTAATGTGAGCAAACTGAGTTTCTACAGAAAAAGATTAATTAAAAAGCTCTGCAGGTTTTACTTGTACCGTCAGCTTTCACAACTGTCACTGGGGAGGCACACTGGGAGATTCTTCTTCGAGCCCGAGCGATTGAAACACAATGTTATGTATGTGATTACCACATTTCTCTATTTCTTTAACACTTCTTATTGCATTTGATTTTATTTGCTTTCTCTTCAGGTCATAGCTGCTGCTCAAGCTGGAAAACATAATGAGAAAAGAGAAAGTTATGGAGACACACTGATCATTGATCCGTGGGGAACTGTAGTTGGAAGATTACCTGGTGAGAATTCCGATATGATATTAATCTGTTATAAATCTTTCAGATCAAAATCAAATGATTGATGATGTGTTATGTTTTTTGGATATAATTTGATATATTTGTTATCGTTTGCAGATCGGTTTTCGACTGGCATTGTCGTTGTTGATATTGATTTTTCACTACTCGATTCGGTGAGAACAAAAATGCCTATTGATAAGGTAAAATACAGACTTGACAAATGCATAATGAGTTAAAAAAATATAAGTTCTTAGAGACAAAAATTGAATTTCTCTTTATGTGGACCAAATGGAAACAAGGTTAAACAATAGAAAGTTTTATGTTTCCATCTTCTTTGGTTTTGTAGCAACGAGTGTCCATAGATCTCTGAAGAACCCTGATAGGACTTATACGAGGGTATCTAAGGAGACATTCTGCAAGGAAACAAGGTGAAGAAGATTGTTTAGACCTACATACATAAGAATTGCAAGTAGATTAGGGGTTGAGATATTGACTTCTTGATTGGTAAGAATGCAAGATAAAACCTCTTGATTGATTTTAAGAAGCTTGAATTTAAAATCTCCAAAACTGCCATTATATTCTGACACAGAAAAGTTCTTTATCTTGCTTATTGATACATTCAGGTTTTAACCCAAATAAAAGACTGCAAGTGTACAGACAATCGTAGTAGTATAGATGACATCGAATCCACAGAGACCAAGGTTACACTATAATTTTTAAGTGTGAAACTAAGCTAAGACAATGATATGGTTTGTTCGATGCATTGTAAAACAAAAATAGCAAATAAACGGTGGGAAGATCAATTAAAACAGGCGGTAGGTCAAGAGTAATTCGCATGATTCAGAGATTATGAACCCGACAATTATTTATTGAACAAATAAGCACAGTCTTGGACTCAAACATGATTGTATGACTAATCCGCTATCGTGGTATCTTGGTATCTGAGACTTTATCTAGAAATCTAAGATTATAAACCGTCATTTGAACTTAGAGTTATAAACAAGCATTAGTGATCAGGTTCGATTTGTTCACATATTGCCTTATCATCAGCTTTTGCTGGCTAAGAAAAATCTGCTCATCTATGTTCTTATCAAACAATCTATAACACTTTTGGAGAATAGATTAGACCCTAGATCAGAGACTAAGTGATCAATTCACTCTAATCGATGAACATAACAATATATGAAGATAACATATGAATAAATCCATATCTATGTATGATTTAATGATTCATAATCCCTTTGAAACCCTAAATCTAACTAATGGATTACTCGGACATGGAAAAAGAAGAACAGAAAAGAGATGAAGAGAAGTTCATATAAATAGAATAGAAATCAATTGGGGTTTATAAATCTTCTCAGATATGTAAAGTAGAAAAGATCGTCTCCCCAAAGCCCACAAACTGTAAAAAGCTCAAAATCACAATGTAGAAGAAGAGGTGGTCGAAACAATGACCAAAAATAATTATATATAAGTCCCACGTCGTTTTAGGTCGAAATAAGGAAAATAGCTGAAAATTCCTGCAGGCACTGAAGTGGTCAATTTGCAATTCTGGTATCACCCGCTTTGGTGCTCTCGGGAATAGTTTTATGTTCTTCACGAAACTTACCGCGGGCACTACTAGAGTGGTCGATTTGCATTTTTGGCATCTCCCGCTTTGGTGCTTTCGGGTAGAATTTTCTGCCAGACTAACATGTCTTTACGAAAATCGCCATAACTTTAGATTGCACCGTTGTATCGACTTCAAACCACTTCCAAATGAAAACTAATTCAAAGATATAGCTTGTATCCAAAACTCAGCACAATCCATCGGTGGGAAGTTCCTCAACGATTTCCAAACTTCAGGCGTCTATGCATAGTTCTGCATCTCCATATGCTTGTTTGCACCCAAAATGATTCATTTTCTCCCAAAACAACCTAAATCCTGAAAAGACTCGATAAAAGGACTGACAGACTCTAAAAACACACTTTGACTCGAAAAATCATTAGAAACCTTGGGTTAGAAAGCCTTAAAAACGTAGTATATCAACTCCCTCAGACTTAGCATTTTGCTTGTCCTCGAGCAAGTACTAAAAACAGAGTCGAGGTTTGAAAACACATTGACTTATGATCTCTCTGGAGCGCCACATTGATCAACAATGTTGAACCTATATACCACAAAATCAACATTAGATAATATGTCAGTATACTTACCACAAGCTTAGCAATAATCCCAGATATAGTTTTGTATCCCTTAGAGAAATCCAAATTCTCCATTGTTGACCCTTTTATTTCATTTAGGCATGCGGTCTCATCAAGGGAGTATCGATCAAAGAACTCATAGATTCTTTCCCTTGCAAGCTCCTGAACACAGACAATCTCGGTACAACCCTCTTATTTTCTCCTCCCTTAGTCGCTTTCTCGCTACTTTTCTAGGGTGTCATTTCTATATTTTTATCGAATTTCTTTTTCTTTTATAGCCTAAAAGTGGTACTACTCTTTATGTGTGTTCCTTGTGAGGAGACAAGTTCAAGAGTGCTCACTACTTGTGTTCCTTGTGAGGAGACAGGTTTGTGAGTGCACCATTCTTAGACTTAGACATTTTTTTTTAATAAGGGAAGATCAAAGAGAGATTGCACCTAAACTTATCTTGACAGTGCTGGAAGAGAAATCATGTTCAATGTATAACAAGCCCCAAGATGAGAAAATAAAAGTTCATTTGGGCGAAGTCAACTTTGGATTCTTTAGACTCTCTAGAAAAATGAACTTTCTGTTAGATTTATCCGCTCACAACTTGCTTGTGTGTTATTTTAATTATAATGTTATGTTATGTTTGAGCGTTGATGCCCTTGGCTCTGAGACATTATAGATTTCACCGACTTGGCTAATAACTTTAACAACAATGATAAACAAACAAATTATTTTCATATATGAACTAATAAAGCAATGATGGTATACGTTTTTGAGATAAATCCACATAAAATTTAGAATATCTAGTTATAGCATATCAAAACAATATTATAATTAAAATAAAAATTAATATATAAAAAAAATTAACAACGAAAAAACACTTATGTAAAAAAAAGATTAAATTAATATATATGCTACATATTTGGAAAATCAATAACAAAATAGCTTAATTAAAAAATATATATATATATAAAATATATCAAACATGCAAAAATTATATAAATTAAAATAAAATATAAAATTACGATTAAAATATATGTAAAATAACAAAAAAACAAAATCTAAAAAGAAAACTAGTTTAAAATTTAGTTCTAGAAAATTCATAATTTCTAAAATATTGATATTCAATATGAATAACCAAATGAAATTACAGTATGTTATACGAGTTTCTAAATCAAATATACTATTTAAATTTACAAAGACTAATACTTTGGTTGCGTCTGGTTAGAATCATAAAATATTTAAAAGCCAAACTTTTTGAATAACAAAAGATTTGGATAGAATTTTAAAATCTTAAAATCAATAACAATGGATTCTAATAAGATTTTAAGAATCAATAAATCTTAACAAATCTCTCAACTTTTAAAATCAATCAAAACTTTACAATTTCATCTTCCAATTACCCTCTCTTAACTTAGTTTAACAAGTGAAACAGCAGTTTTTGGTCTACTAGATCAAATGTCCGGCCTCTTCTAATAAGTTGTAGAATAGAGATCAAGTATCAATCCAATTATGGGAGATGAGATGCAAACAATGCTGTAAGCTAAGCAAGATTGGGATTTGATTATGTGAGAACAAGTCTAACAACCTAATGGTGCAATGAAAGAAAAGCTTAAACTAAATGCAAGTGAACAGAACTGAACAATGAACTTAAAGCAATGACTAAACAAGAACTAAGCAAAAATGACTACTAAAGCAAGAACTAAGCAAGATGACTTTGAAGACCATTAATTAAAAGCAAGACTCAAGGTTCTAAGCAATTGTGGGATTGTGGTTTTCAAGCGTGACAAGGGGATTTCTACTAAGGCACTAAACAAGCATTAACAAGCAAGCAATTCTCAATGTTATGCTCCTAAACAAGGTATCTAAAGGGAACCAATTGACGTCAATAAGCAATTCATATTCAACAAGATTGAAGTGTTAGACCCACTTGTGATGGTGTATCCTTCAACCATGAGCATAAAGATCAGAACCATTCTAGCCTAAGAGATGTACCAATCAAGCAACTACTCTCTCACCCAAGCAAAAATTCAGATCAACTTATCAATCTTGTGAACCAATAAGGACCTAAGCAGCTATACACCAATCAAGATTATGGATTTAAGCACAAATTTGCAACACCCTAACAAAGCTAAGCAATGAACAAGAATGAAGCAAAAGCAAGATCTTTCAATGCATATTATCTAACCACCAAGTCAAGAATCTCAAAACCAGCATTATCAAGCCCTAAGCGAATCATCTAGCAAGGTGAACTATCACTTTGGTGTCACTGAACAAAGGAAACATAGACCAAGGTAGACTATCAAGCCAAATAAGCGAACTGTACTTAGAGAAGAGATATCAAGACATCAAGTGAACCATATGCATCTATCAAACCATATTCAACCAAAGGGAGCAAGCTTTATCAACATTAATCACTTTGCAAGAGAAGGAGATAACAGAGAACCATTAAACAAGCCTGATCACCTTTTAATCACATCTTAATCACTACTTTCCCTACTTAGAACCCTAAATCTAAGGAAAACTACTCACTAATCATGTTTAATCTCATTGATTTGGAGTTAAACATAACTAGATGAGTTTAAAATGCAAAAGATGATAAATCTAAGCTACCAAGATGCAAGAACAGAAATTAGAAGACAAGATTAAACCATAAAAAAAGCAAACTTTATTAAAGATCCTCAAGGCAAAATCGCCCTTTTTGGTTTAGAGAGAGTTTTGAGATTAGATAAAATAAAGCTTGATAAGGATAATGTTTTGTGGCTTTCCTTTTATACTAGGAAGCCAAAAGAAGCATAAAAAACCTAAAAAGATAAGATAAGGTTAAGAAAAATCAAATGGTCAACGAGGATGAGCTGCATCGAGGTCGTACGGTCGATGTTCTGCTCGATATGCGTCCTTGATATGGTCCGTGCAGCATGTATGGACGTCCTTCCTCGATGCTGGTCCTCGATGCACACCAACAGCTTGGAATCCTCGTGCTGATCCTTCTCCTCTCGTCCTGCTGCTTGCATCGAGCATACTCCACGGGTGTTCTGCTCGATATGCTTGCTCGATATGGACCAGGCTTTGCAAGAACTCCACTTTTGACATCTCCTTTGAGCATGAGCTGCTTCCATCCCTTCTCCAGCTCCAAGAAACTCCAAAAACACCTGAGAATCACCACAAACATGCATATGTATGCAAATGTATGTAATCATAAGCTAAATGCATGCTATGTTGATTCTAAGTGCAAATGATACTTAAATGCTGAACTATAATACAAAAACAGAGGAAAAAATATATGAAATGCAGCATAAAATAGTCTAAAATAGCAAGCTATCAACAAATTACTTGGATTCTTAGTGTACTATTCTATTTTTCCTATATATTTAATTTTAAAGTGTGTAACATATCATATGATTAGGACTGATTGTGGTAGTGTCTACATTAAATTTTAATTAGTATGTAAAAAAACAGCAATATCACAAATCGTCTGATCATTTCTTGAAAACATGCCTCTTTGAAAATATATCTTCCATCAATTTATCTCGTTGTATATGATCATTTGTTTTATCTTTTCTTGCCGTCTTCAATTTCTTTCTTGGGGGATTCCTATCACTTTCTTGAAATCATCTAATGTGACTTCTTGAATCTCACATTCTTCTGAGCTTCCAGGCCATTGTGAACCAATCTGAAATATGTATATTAGAATGGATGCACAATAGTGTTAGGAATTCACGACAAATTCTCAACTTTTCATCAGACATTTTTTTTTTTCAATTTATTCTGTCTTTTTGTAAATGTAATTTTATAAAGATTCATTTTCTCGATAACTTCTGAAGATGGTTCTGAATTTATCCTCACATAAAAAATTAACATTATCATCTAAATTATGAATCTTTTTTACAACACTATAATATGTTTACCTAAAAACAAAATAAAACAAATGAATCATTTGGAAATTTTGAACTTGATAAAAACGACGTTTTACCAAAACAATTTATTCTAAAACGATCAAATGCAGATTTGAACACGACAGTATTACAAATACAAAGTTTTACACATACAAAAGAGAGAGGTTTGATGCTATGAACATAAACATCAAACGTTTATTCAGCCAAAACATTATTCAACATCTGATTCAAGAAACAAGATCAACACAGTAGCCTCAGACTTAGAGCGGCGTCAATCCAACCACACCTGCGTTTAGAACAAACGTAGGCTCGTGAGGATACCGAAACAAAATACTCCAATATTGCGTTTACATGTTACATAAAAACGTGCTTCCTTTTCAAATGAAACCACAATTGTTAGTATTATCAACCAAAATCCTTCGTTTAACTTTAACGTAAACGCAAACGCAAACTGAAAATGAAATTATTATTTTTTGAAAATGTGAACTTTGTTTTCAAAGTTTTCTTCTAAAACGCTTGAAACAAATCATAATTCATAGTAATCGAATTGTTTAACCATACCGCAAGCCAATCTCCCGCCTGCGTTTCCTGTGGTCAGACTAAGCTCATGCCCACCTACATTTGTCAAATCGAAGTAGAAGTAATCAGATCACAAAGAGACTTCTATAAGTCAATGAAACTATGAATACGAAACACAAAGAGGAGGAAGAATTTAACATGCCACAAGGAATTATGCAAAACGGTGACATTTGATGTATCGAGAATCGGAAGTAAAAGTACAAAAAATTTACCCTTTCCGAGATCATCCTTAAGCTCGTGAACCACAAAGGCTCTTCCAACAACAGAATTAGGACCGGTCAGAGGAATCTGCACAGTTTGATGTCACAGTTAAAACAAAAAGCTTCTTATAAGAGAACATTTGATAAGTCACAAAACACTTAACCTGATTATCCACTAGTGTTGTTTCTGCCACGCCTGTTGTTACAGAAATAAAAACAGAACTTAGCTCAAACAGTTCTTGATTATTAGAGTAAGCAGCCAATAATGATTAGCGAAACTTGGAAATGGAGAATGTAATTACCATCGGCGTTGGCAATTATGTTTCCCAGGTCACCCGCATGACGGATCTCGTCTTGAGGAGCTCCGTGTGTCATGTTGTTAGGGTTGAAATGTGGTCCTATGTGAATGTAAACACAAGATATCGTTTTAAGAGAACCAAAACACACAAGTCAAGAAAACTAAAATCGCCACATTGTTGTATCGGCATGAAGAACCAAACCTGTTGAGATGCATCCATTTGTTGTATCACCGAACTCATGCTGTAAAAAGCAAACAGAACAAAGAGTTACAGAAACTACAGCTCAAAGAATTCATAAGGTAAAACAATCCATGATTCGTTCTTACGAGGTGAAATCCATGAGGCCCTGGAGCGAGTCCGGTGATACGAACATTCACAGTTGTGGGACCTGCTTTGCCAGTAACATCACCATTCATTTAAATTGGAAGAAACCAAACAGATCTAAGGTTTATACACACAGTGAACAATCTTCTTTACAAGCCACTGTATCATTTGCCTCAAGAAATATGCAGTATAGTTGACATTAATCACAAAAGCATTTCAAAGGATTAGATCTATATAAACACTATAAAGCTACTCATTGATTATATGTCCCAAACGAAACTGAAAGAATATGAATCTTAACACTAACAGTGAACAGTCCTCTTCACAAAGCCATTGTATCAGCAGGACTTAACACTGGGATTTGCCTCAAGAAATATGCAATTTAGTTGCCATTAATCACACCAGCATCTCAAAGGATTAGGTTTCTCTAAACATTGTAAAGCTAATAACTGATTATAATAATCACAAATGAAACTGAAAGAGTATGAATCTTAACGCTAACAGTGAACAATCCTCTACACAAGCCATTGTATCAGCAGTGGAATTACCTCAAAAAATATGCAAATTAGGCTTAATTGCTTATATAAAAATGCTAAAGCTAATCACTGATTATAATAATCTCAAACGAAACTGAAAGAGTATGAATCTTAACACTAACAGTGAACAATCCTCTTCACGAAGCCATTGAATCAGCAGGACTTAACAGTGGAATTACCTCAAGAAATATGCAATTTAGTTACCATTAATCACACAAGCATTTCAAAGGACTAAGTTTATGTAAAAATTCTTAAGCTAATTAATCATTGAATATATTATCACAAATGAAACCTGAAAGAGTATGAATCTTAACACTAATGGTGACCTACTTATGACAACGGAATCTGAGAAATTCGAATCAAAATGCAAACAAAATGGAATAAATACGAGCGAATTGAGAGAGACGGACGAGGAATCAGAGAAAATGAGGGAGGAAATGGTGGAAGGACCTGTGTCTTCTTGTGTCAAGGTAACAACTCCTTCGACATCGGAGGTACCCTTGAGAACCGCAACAGCTTTTTTCGCGGCGGAGACGACTGTTAAAGCTTTCTTCGACGGAGCTCTGGCGGAGAAGGAAACGGATTGGGGACGGTAAGGGTTGAGAGAGACGCCGCGGAAAGAGGAAGAAGAGAGGAGTGGTGAATTCGGATTGGATGAATTAGCAATGAGAAGGCGAGAAGGCGATGAGAACGAGAGGATGGTGTGAGCAGCCATAGCTGCTTGTGTACTTGCTTTTTTTGGCGTTTGGAGAAATCGAGTGGGCAACGATGATGAGGTTTTTCTTATTTGTCTGCCTTCATTATTATTTTTTTTCTCGTTAAGGCCCACACAAAATTGTAGGCTAATTTGTCTAAAAACCCACAAATTTTAGAGTTTATTATATTTATAAGCACTTTATCAAATGAACACAACAATAACACTAAAGTTTCTCCTAGCTTGACATCTCAGATTTTTTAAGTTTTATAAATATGACATCTCAGCAAAAATAATCACCCATCAAAACATTTTATTAATACATCTCATCTACTTATTTTAATTTTTAAATTTAAACCCATTAAAAACCTAAATATTTTTTCTATTATACCCATTAAAAACCTAAATACCAAATCCAAGCCCAAATAATTAATAATAGCAAATAAAAAATTATTATTTTATTTTTTACCAAATTCAAACCCATATAATAAATAAAAATAAATAAAAAAATTAAATCGTTGTTTTCTTTTTTTTGTCAAAACCAAATGCAAATAATAAATAACAATAAATAAATAATAAAAAAAATTCTAGCTATCTATTTGTTTGACATAGACGTATATGATTGAAAAAGTGTAGGCTCAGCATCAAGTATGCTTTTATGACAACAACACAAAAGCCTTATGTTATAAGAAGCTCACACATCAGCAAAAATTTGAACTGATAAAAATATAACAATTTCTTAGTTTTCGCGGAAAAATACAATTTCACGGGAGATAATGCAATTTTTGATTTTCGTGAGAAATTTTAGTTTATTTGTTTTTGTAGGAAAGCGTGATTCTGCGCTTGACGAGAAAATGATTTTTTTTTTGCAGGAACAGAAGATTTCTCAGTTTTCGCAGGAAAAATAAATTTTCGATTTTGGCAGAAAATATAATTTTTTTTTTGATTTTTGCAGGAAGATGAAATTTTTTGGTTTTTGTGAAAAAACGTAATTTCTCGGTTTTGGTGGAAAAACACAGGTTCTCGCGTGAAAATGCAAGTTTAGGTTTTATGTTTGACGAGAAAATGATTTTTTTTTGTTTTGGCGGGAATAGCCGATTTCTCAGTTTAATGGAAAAATAAAGTTTTTTTGTTTTGACGGGGAATGCGATTTTTTGATTTTTGTAAGAAAAAAAAATTTCTCAGTGCTAAATTTCCAAGTTAAAGTATGTTTACAGTAACCAAAATTTAATTATTTAACTTTAACGAAAACGATATTTTAAGAGTTCAAACATAATTTTCTATTTAGTTCTAAAGCAATTTCAATGGTTTTGATATGAATGTTATTGATTATAGTTTGATAGATTTTAGAAACATATGTTTATAATAAAATATTTGATAAATAAATAAATTTATATTTCAAAATAATCATATTAACTAATATTTTTTTTCAAAATGACATTTTGCTTTATATAATTACAAAGGAGGACCATGTGGCAATTTACTAGAGAAAATAGATTACATTTGCCATTATCATGAATGTACAAAAAATGTATTGCTTTATTCTTATATATTTTATTTCTATATATACATTTATAATTAGTTAGCTAACTAAATTTAATAGCAAATTATAATTTTGAATATATATATATATATAATATTTATTCAGATTTAAAACATATAAATATATAACTTAAGCTAATAAAAAAAATATAATACTCATTTACATTATAAAAATAATTTTATTATATTAAAAATATATACAAAATTTAGAAAAATATTCTGCAGCATAGCGTAGGTAAATACCTAGTTCATATTATAAAAACAGATACTTCCACTTCCAATATTTCAGAAGCAATGACATTTCTATCTTTTTGTTTTTTTTTTCACACTTTTCAGTAAGCTGTAAACAAATAATAATATCTTCTCATAGTAAGAAAAACAAAAATATTTTACCAGAAAATTCTTTTGTGAAAAGAAAAAGTCTGGTACAAAATTCTTTCACGGTGATTCAACGGCATAATTGATAGCCTAATCAAAAGTTACAAACAACAAAGTTTCGGAGAATCGACCAATCATTGATCTTTCAAAAAACCCAATGAAGCCCTGTTTTCTTTTTTGAGATCATGTTGAAATCTCACAGCCTATATATGTTCCAACTGGAAATCCATGGCAATACTCTATCTGATTTTAGTATTTTACTAACACCATAAGAGACTCGCTGGAGAACTTCTATCATAAGGTTTCATCAATAAATTCAAACAACACCCAGATCTACTCCAAATAATTTCTTTCCCTGAATCATTTGCTGAATTAAGGGAACGAAAGTGAGAATTCGTAAGTGAATCTCCGAGTTCGTAAGTTCAAAGGCAATTTTTTATTGGGTTGTATGTGAAAAATCCAATTTCGTATGTTGATTTGTGTTTTTTTAGCATTGGTGACAATTTCTTTCTAAAAATCGGATGTGTGTGGAGCTAATTTTGATTTGGTAGTCTCAAAACATTGACTTGCTGGATTTTCAGATTTTTTAGAAATAGTCCATGATTTTGGGTGATTTATATCGGGTTATATGTAAGAAATCTAAAAATACTATGTTGATTTGTGTTCTCTGAGCGTCTTTGGCAAGTTTCTCTGAAGTCATACCAATTTCTTAATAGTTTTAAGGAATGTAGCAGCCTAATACATCTCTGCATCGGTTAATTATTTTTGTTCTGGAATTGTTACTTATTGTTATCTTTGATGAAAGATTCTGCTATTTTAGGACATTTTTGGTTTTCCAAGACTAGGATAAATTGAGAAGATATTCATACCTGGTAAAAGAGAAGAGAAAGTGAATAATATATCTATATCTCTGTGTTCATATGTATGTACACAAGCTAATTGACAGTAGAGTCTCTAAAACAGATTGCAGAAAAACTCATATGTGCAAGAGACTTTAGTTCAAATTACTGTCCATATGAATGTGTAGATTACACAAGTAGCTTTATCCATAAAGTAGCTCTATACATGTGTTCTTTGGGCATCTTTGGCAAGGAACTCTAAGGTCTTATGAATTACTTAATAGTTTTATGGAATGTAGCAGCCTACGTGATGCAGCGCATCATACATATTTAAGCATTTGACGACAAACACATCCAATGGGTTTAACGTGTTTGTCAAGCAAATAGTTACTTTGAATTAATTGATAGATTTAACTTGATGTAAAAATAATATCAAATATTAGTAGATTAGGATTATGAGATACGATTACGATCTCATTATTGTTGTATAAATAGGATCTTTTGTAGTTTGTAAAGAACAACTTTGATTTTGAATAAACTTTTAAGCTTTCTAGCTAAACGAGCTTTAATAACACGAGAAAGAGTATTCCCAAACGAGATTTCACAAGCACGGGGAAGAGTATTTCCAACCTCTATCGATTTAAATGTAGATCTTCTACATTTATTTCAACCCGATTACACATTAATCCTTTGGATATATTGCGTCTTTGTTTTATAGTTTCCGCTTCTCCATCAGTTGGTATCAGAGACAAACGATTCTGTCAATTCTTTCCACACCAATCATGCCATCGAAGCATATCTACAATCGTATCGATGAATGGCCAAATCTTTGTGAGACTCTCTTTGCGATGTTGAAGAATTTCCAGTCGTCATCTCAAAAGTCTATTCAGCAATTTGATCGTGACAAAGACATCTTCGACCAACCCACCTATGATGTTTATGGTGATGAATTAGCTGCTATGAAACATGACTATCATGAAAATTCAATCTATGATATCTATGATGATTCAGATCCAATCTTCAATGTTTGTAAGGAGACAGATCCAAATCGCTTATTGATATATCATGGTTTTTATGGTTTTTAACCATGGTATAAGTCCTTTTTATTGAGTCTTAGTAGAGTCTTTGCAGGTTATAACATGTCTGGAGCACAATTGGAGATTATGGAGCTTTTTGGAGCATTGCAAGATGCAGCCACGAAGTGTACAACTCGGAAGGCGAATATAGAGTTGGGTGACGCTCGTCACCACTCAAGAGTGACGCTCGTCACCCGTAGATGGGAAGGAGTCGCGACTTGTTGTTAAGAGATTTGACTTAGGAGTTTTGTGAACAATTGAACCTGATCAATACTGCATGTTTAGGTTGTCAGAGTTTGCAAAGAGATTTGAAACTCTGTGATTTAGACATAGTTAACTTCTGCAATGAGAATTGATTAGTTATATATTTGTGATTCATGTTCAAGAGGGTTTTTATTCATTCTTGATTTCATGCATTCTACACTCTCGGATTCAACCTGCAAATTGTCCTGACTTAGGGCTTTTATTTTCTGAGTCTTATATCAAATCAAAATCGCCTGCTTTCATCTTATTAGTTATTTTGCATTACATACACTACTGATCACTTAGCTTAATCCAAACTTAAAATTTATAGTGTAGTTTACTTACTCCCTTGGGATTCGATAACCCATTATACTACAACTGCTTTGTTGTGCACTTGCAATAGTTTTTATTTGGGTAAAACCTGAGCCCTATTAAGTTTTTGGTGCCGTTTTTGGGGAGTAATAGCTGCCTATCGATTTTTAGTATTAGGATTTTGTCTAAATTTTTATTTGTTTACTGACTTTTGCTACTTTTCTTTGTGCTGGTTTCAGGTGTATGCCTAATCGCAGTACCAGAAGCAACAACGAGAAGGAGCTTATGATTTTGAGCATCGGAAAACTCGCTAAGTTGGAGAGGACCATCAGAAAAACTAAGAAACAGTCTACAATGGTTGCTCCACTGATCTTGGTTGAAGATGCAGAAGGTCACGTCGTTGACAGAGATGGAAACAGGAGGAATGAAGAAGGGCAGAGATTGGATCAGGATGAAAATATCATCGTTGAACAGGTGGTTCAACGTGTGGTGCATGATGCTGGAGTTCCTGCTGCTAGAAACGCTGTTGGGCGATTTGTTCAAAGGACTCTAGGAGATTACAACAGACCTGGTCAGTTATATGCCAACAGAGCTGCAATCCGCCCTCCTGCTTTCCAGAGGAATGATTCTG